AACTAAACATGGAGAAGCAGCGTTTAGTTTTCATGCTCCAAATAACCCCCATAAAACTGCAGGTTCGCAACTCTCACTACTTTTAAATCCAGACTAAAGACTTCTATTTGCTGCTGCTTTTCATTATATCAAATAAGATTAAGCAACGTTTGTTCTTGTATATAATACATACGTCTTAATCCATTTGATTGTCTTGTTTATTGTATTTTATGTCCTTTTCAAAGGTTTTATGTAAAGCACTTTGAAGTGTCTTGTTGCAGAAATGTGCTATAATACAAATAAACCTGCCTGCTTTAATATGCCACACGCATTCATTGTTAAAGGCAAGTAATATAATAAAGCTATAACGGTTGCTGGTTGTCTGGCTCTTGAAGTGACTGGTTTCGAGGCCAAAAAATGATTCCAAATTGCTGCCACTCTTTTAAAAAACACATTTTCAAAGCGCATTTAATTTAGATAATCGTGGAGCAATGAGGAGAATGTTTTCTTTTTAAAGCATTTGTGTTTATAGGTAAGCAAATAAATGTCGTTTTGCACAAATCCTCAAAAATAGTGTACATTAGATCCAACACCTACAAGCACAAATCTGAGGAATCAACAAACTGATGCATCAGTGACGTTCACAGTTAAAGGTGGGGTAGGTAATTTTGGAGAAACCAGCTCGAGATCGCTAAAATTTGAAAATACACAGCCGGAAAAAATCTGCCACTTCCTTACAGAGCCCCTCCTCCAACACACACGAACGTGCACATGACCAATGAGGGCACGAGATAAGTTTGTGCACAGATGGAAGGCTGACAGGCAGGTAGGCCATCCAGTTATTTTAGCCGGGCCGGCTCAGATGATTGGTCGTGCTTTTTACAGTACTACGGCTTCCACAGATGATATTTTTTTATGGATTTTTTGTCAAAGCACTTCAGATATTCATTGCTATCGGGATGTTAAGAGCATTCCATGGAATATAACAAAAAGTGTATCTCGAGCCGGTTTCTCAAACTTACCTACCCCACCTTTAAGATTCCACCGTAAAAAATTGTATTTTGAGTGATATTTACGGTGTGGTTTTTGGCGGGAAATAGACACGGTCTGCGCCATTTTCTTTGTTTACATGTCAACACTTTCTGACTTTTCTTTTGTAAAGATGTGCAACGCGGATGTAAAGGAAATGTTGTGTTTGTTCTCAGGTATGTTTGTGTTTGTGTGATTACTTAAAAATAAGATTTTCTTGGTCATTTCATAATTTCTCAAATTGTATAAATAAGCTAGTATGTATAAATAATACTAGAGACACTGAAGTGAGCACTGCTGAGGCTCAGATGCTTCACTGTCGTTTCCTGATCGATAACGAGTCGCTTACGGTTGTGACCCGTTACACTGTTATACAAGCACAAATCTGACTCTCAGTTTAGCAGGACTCAACAAATCAGTGATGTTAACAGACAATATGTTCAGGGTGCTTTTCTGCAAAGCATTTGTGTTTATAGGTGGGCAAATAAAGGTAATTTTGCACAAATCATCAAACAGTTTACATTAGATCGAACTCCAACAAGCACAAATCTAGTAGGAATCAACTTAAAATCAACCGATGCATCAGTGATGTTAACAGACAATATGTTCAGGGTGCTTTTCCTTTGCTAGCGCTCCTCACTTCTTGCCATGCCAACCTCTCTGCAAAGCATTTGAGGATTTGTATGTATTTGCCTACCTATAAACACAAACAGTTTACAACAGATCGAACTCCTACAAGCACAAATCTAGTAGGAATCAACTTAGATCGCCACCCTGATGCATCAGTGATGTTAACAGACAATATGTTTAGGGTGCTTCTCCTCTGCTAGCGCTCCTCACTTCTTGCCATGCCAACCTCTCTGCAGCCGTCCTTTGAGAGACTCTCACAGCCAAACTACAGTGGCCTCTTTGAGCATCCACTGCCCACAACAAACCCACACAGCACCATGACTGCCAAGCGCACACAAAGACACCATGTTACTACAACCCACGGCCAGGAGACGGGGGGGGGGGCATACAGAGAACTGTTAAAAAGAGGTTATTCTCACACTGTGGCTATTTATATTTGACTCCATTTAGTTCATGTAACAGTCGTCCGAGTACAGCAGAGGAGGTGTGCATGCATGGGAGCGTTGACTTTAATTGAATGTATTATGTCGAGAGATTTCGCATAACTGTATTAGTTGAAAGCAATGGTTAAAGCTAATATTTTTAAACGTATCATTAGTGCTTTCAATAGTCAAGTTGCCAGCTTAGTGAACCTGGAAATGTTGAGGACCCCAAAGTTTTATGTTTGAAATGTATAATACGGGTCCCCATCACATAGAAACTACAGGATGCTAACTTGCATATGTTGCGCCATTAGCACAAGTTGCATTAAATACAATGAAATGTATCATAGCCTATGTAAAGAGTAGTTTAAAAATGACTTTTGGAGTGGTTTTAGGGGTTATCAAGGATGCCGAGTCAACTATTATCCACATAAGCTACAATGCTAATTAACGCAAATTGCCCAATATATGCAAGTTAGCATTCTGCACTTTCTATGTGCTGGGGACGCATACTATACATTTCTATCATAAAACGTTGGGGTACACATTCAACAATTCCCGGTTCAAAATAAGACCCTAGATGAGCTAGATAACCTAATACAGTTATGTGAAATCTGTTGACAAAATACATTTAAATAAAGTCATCATTTCAGTTTTTTCCGTGTGGATTCTTTATTTCTTTGCAGAGAGCATGCTTGCATGTTCCTTTCTGCGGAGCACGAGATCCCGGCAGGGTGACAGCGCTGAATCAGCGGGTCGCACGTTGTGTAATCTCTCACACTAACACACACTCACACACACAGATTAACAGCATGCAGGGAGGCGGGGTGGGGGGGGGGATTGTTCTCTACAAAGAAACTGTTTTCAGTAGAAGGAAACAGAGGCCCAGGGAAGTGTTACAGTTCTTCTTAAATGTAAAGCCTCGCTGACACTGAATGGGTCGGGTTGGGCGTTAAAACTCCTCGCAGATTCATTACGCTGGACAGGAAGAGTTCAACTAGACAATTACACAAAGTACTTGGATTCTCAGTACCCTTATTCATCATGAGGGGCACGCTGCAAGTACTCTTAATGGGATCTAGGAACCTCAGGGGGTCCTTTGGGAGAAGTTGTGTCATTTCTACAAACTATACTTGTTAGAGAATGTATAAGAATGACATGATGTGTTTCTCCCGCACCCTTGTTATCTCCAAAGTTACATTAGTCATTGTTAAATATTAATTTAGAACAGGACTATTTGTTAAGTGGGTGTTCATGGCCTTGCATATGCGGAGGGACTGTGACATGCAAATGTTTGAGAGCCCCCTGCTGTATAAATCAGGTTATCTAACCATTCACTCCACTACAAACGGTTGTGCAGACCATCCATAAATCCCAACAACTACCTATAAAAGCTGCAGCGATAAGTCAATCAAACAAAACAAGGTTATATTTTGAAAAAGTATATTTTAAATGCAAAAATGGCAGAAAATGCACTTGTTATGCTCTAAAAATATGAGAATGTTCTATATTTCTGTCTTTTATTTCATATCAACGCCATGTTTTTCAGTTGTGGACTGACAAAAGACATCATCTTAGACTTTTGAGTTGCAAAGATGGACATTTTTCATTATTGTCTAACATTACATAAACCAAATGATAAAAAAGGCATACAGTAAATCATTGTTCCCTGGGGGAAGCTGCATAAGAGGTTATAGCACTGCACGCCTTCTTAACTATCAAATGCATTTCATCTCACAACACAATATGCATTTACACATCAGATTTTCTCAGCACTGAAGCAGCAGAACAACAATGAATTGATCTATTGTTGGATGGGAGCGATGCATCCCACACATCCTGAGTTCCTGACACATACAGTAACCCCAATGACGACTGTTTGTATCAACATGACATCACCCTATTGCATGTTGTTGGTATTTTTATTTATAATTTCAAACAGATTAGTCAAATCATGGTGCTGGATGAAAAAATTATTGAGCAAAATTCCATTCAAAAATATGATAAGGGAGACATATTTTGCCTTTTTACAAATATGCACATCTTGTAAAACGTAACTTCAGGCCTCTTACAAATCAGTAAGACCCTTTTGTGAATTCGGCTAATCCATTAAGCACCAAACCACAGTAATTATCCTAAAATGTCAACTTTTTAAACCCTTCACATTGCTCGCTACCGCCCACCATTGTGTCTTTCGTCTGGGTCAAAAGTGAGTGTGTCAAAGGCGAAATGTCTTAGGAAAGTTAAAAATGTTCTTACTTAAATACACGTTTCATTAAATATATGCATGCCGAATTCCTCAGCACATTATGTAAAATCAGAAACAGGTATTAGGTTATTCTCTACAATGCATTTACGACAATATACACAGCTTTCTTAAAGGATGTGTAATTTTGACGATGGAGTTTGGTCATATGCTACAGGAGACAAGGTTACCTGTCAGGTTAGCGGAATCCAGATGTTTTGATAGTAACTTTTGTAAAGTTATTAGCAGAAATAAAGAGACTTTTAGATAATTTAGAGACGTGTCCTTACTTATGTCACAATAGGGAAATTAAAAACCAGTAAGCCATTAAAAGCTGCTTCCGACAACACAACCTGAGTCACTTTCACGTGAGTCTAAAGGGGGTTGAACTTCCTTAAAAATCTGACAATTTAAAGTTAAACCTTAAAATGTCAGCAGAAACACAAACAACTAACACATTGACAAATCAAAAATATACACTCTTTCATTCGGCATGTTCCTCATACCTGCATGTATTCAAAAACATCCTAATTTCTGTAATCTTAGCCAGAAAACAGATTTCAAAGTGCAGCCAGGCGGCCTTAAATTCACCAATTTGTCAATGGAGTCTGGCTTCCCTCTCCCATGTAAAGTGGGAGTGCACTTAACTTGGGTGAAAAGTGAGCAGAAGTTCACTTTTTTTGCAACAAACTTACCAGGGTTTGCTCATATTGCAGAGCCCGCTGGTCGGCCCCATCCCCGGCCATGGCTGCGTTTGTGCCCGGCGTTCGGTGCACCTTTTTCGGCTTGGACGTGAGAGGAAACCCGGAGCGATGTCTCTGAGTGTGTGCACTGATTAAACCATCGGACTGGCTGTAGTTTCTGCACGGGAGTTCACACCGGGAACTCCACTACAGAATGCGTCCCGGTTACAGTAAGGTCCTTCATTTTATAGCCTCTCAAGTCCCAGTAAGATACTGAGTGTGAGGCGGGACTTTGGACTAGAACAGACCCTCCCATCTGGAGCAAGTGTCAATCAAAACACAAGAAATTAAACCCTTTTTCACTTTGAATAGGAAGTGTTTCTCACAATTTGACAGTGGAGGAAAAAGTACTACTTTACTTTAGTAAAAAAAAATCAAAATAAGTAATACTAATAAACTAATAATCCATAACATTCATCATTCATTCATATATTCTATTTTATTTTATTTACTCTGTTTTATTGTGTTGCACTGTTGGAGGAGCCTGTGACCTTAGATGTAATTGCCACACTGTAGCTATGCACAAATGACCATAAAAGCCTTGAATCTTGAAAAAAACTACAGTTTAAAAATACTACATCACAAGTAGAAGTCCTAAATTCAAAACGTATAGTATTATCAGCAACATCTAAAGAAGAAGAAGGTCTATTCAGTATGGAAAATGGCTAAAGTGAAATATTATAATGGAATAATATCATATATAATGGATATCTGGTGTCAATCAAAACACAAGGAATTACACGCTGTATAACTTTTAATGGGAAGTGTTTCTCACATTTTGACAGTGGAGCGAAAAGGTACTCCTGTACTTTAGTTTTTTTTTAAAGGTGGAAAGTAACTAAGTACATTTACTCAAGCACTGTACTTAAGTACAATTTTGAGGTACTTGTACTTTAATTGAGTATGTCCATGTTATGCTACTTTGTACTTCTAGCTACTCCACTACACATCACTGCATACATGCAATATTTGTGGTTTTATTACGAGAGCTTAGGCATTTATGTAAAAGGTGAACTAAAGGCAAACAGAAATAGCTGTTAATAAATGAGAGTCCTTGTTGGATTGATCCTCACCACGCCTCTGTCGATGGTTAACTGCAGCCTTTTTATTAGAGCAAATAATTGAACAGTTAATGAATTATTTTTTGCTGGTTGAATAGGAACAAGCCTACGGTTGTGGCAATGAATACTTCCCATTATATCACTCAATATAAGCTAAAAATAATATGAATATCATTTGAAATAAACACTTAACTAATTAAAGCAGGGGTGTCAAACTCAAATACACAGTGGGCCAAAATACAAAAAATGGGTACTAGTCGAGGGCCGGACTGGTTCAATGTTTATTGCAGAACTTATTGAAATGAACTTATTGCACATATTAAACCTGGAACTAACAAAGCTTAAATGATTGCCTATAAAAACAGCATTAAACATTAAATAATCAGTTGCATTCATTTCTTATGGCTCTATCTGCAGATTTTCCAGAGTCATTTCTTATGATTACATTTTTCCACAGGCCAACAACAGCTTCAACAAAACTATTTCCCTCAAAGAACAAACCAAACATGCCCTGTTGTCGTGAGAGAAAAAGCACAGAAGGAAACATCCATGTAAACTCAGTGTGCTGCTCTGTGATGCTAGTTCAGATACTTGGCATCTCATCTTGGGTGCAAGGTCATCAATGTTTGGGGTCAGGCTCTGAGCTGAGGAGACCCTCAGGATGGAGTGAAGGTGTGCGTGCAATATACCGGCAGGCGAGATCTAATAGTAATTAGAAATTATCCTGCGGGCCGAAATTAAATCCACCACGGGCCTGATTTGGCCCCCGTGTCATAGTCGTAAGTTTGTGTCTAATGATATCACTGAATTAATTTGAGGCTAAAATAATATAAATACACATTTTGAGTGGACCAAAGCTATAATAAGACACAACAAAACGTAACCAGTAAGGAAAGCATTCACAGGAAATATTGCTATTCATTTAACACATATAATAAGACATTGAGACATTATCTCATCAATTAATGCTCATTATAACCATCACGATATCGTATCTCTCAGGTTTTATTATCCACTAAAAGCAATGCAAGTTGCTGGTGGAAAAGTTCAGTTACAAAGCACAGGAAGCTGCTAGGTAGATCATGAACCTACAAATATATTTAACATTTAACGCGCATGGTTTGTGTGGCCTCACAGTTTCTGTCCAGACTAGAAATATCATGCATTTAAATGTGAAACCTGAGAGCTACAAAAATACAAAGAGACATGTGAATGAATACTTAAGTTGTCTCCATCAACTATCTTTGTGTGATTATAAGGAGATTGTTTATCGAAGTGAGCAGTAGGGTATTCTGAAACATTGCAGATTAACACTAGCATAACAAGATCACGTCATCATCTCTTAACTAAATGCATATCCTAAGCTTCTTAGCATATTGTTCATGTGTTTTAATCATTACACATATCTACTTCAGCCATGTGTAAAAACATGTATGCGATATTTCCAGAATTGTTCTATATTCGCCGTTATTAGTCAGGCTTTTTATGCACTTGCTAAAATAAAAAATGTACCTTTGGCACATAAATACAGTTATGGTATATTCGTCTTTTTGTAGTTTTACAAATGTTGAGTGTTTTTGGGGGATTTATGAACGATGCTAAATCAATTTCGGATATTTTCAGGATCCAAAACCGTCATTTAAAGCATAAAGTGTCCATCGTTAAACTCCTGGAGCGGCAATTTGTATGCATTATGAGCTAATTTTGAAATCTCTGAATTGATTAAATAGATTGAACCGATTATTATTATGTAGAAAATGCTATATATTTCTTTAAAATGTTCTCTTTTTTTTATTTTAAGACTTTTTCCCATTTGTAAACCTCCATGGAAACACCCATATTGCCAAATTAAACAGTGATTAGCCTTAACTTGATACTCAGAAACACGAGTGTTTGATGTTCCTTTGCATCGATGTGAAACAAACACACACACTCGAGCCCACAAAGGTGTTTTCCACTTCATCTGAATACATGTGTGTGTGTGCAGGTTAATCATTATTCATCCTGCTTTGTGTGTTTTCAAGTCAGAGCCTTTTGACCCCCTGTGTTGTGGACTGGATGTCTTCACGGTCAATCAAGGATTCTTCAAACTCACCACTTCCTCACAATGGAAAAATACTGGGGGTGCACGACATGCAGAAACACTGGAGATCAACACATCTCTACACCAGTTATACGGTTCAGTGTCGGGATGGCAGCGGGATAAATAAAAAACGTTGTGTCCGGCCACATCCTCTAAAGCTTTTCTGAGAGGATCCTCGGGCATGAGATAAGATCTGAAACGCCTCCAGGGTATTGTGGGTCTATTTGAAGAAAAGAAAAATAGCAACAGCAAAAAATAAGCAAGACAGAAAAAGGACAAAATTAAAAAATACAGTAAAATAATTCTAATAAATAAGTTAATAAAGAAACATTTTAATCAATTTCTTCCCTTCACTTAAAAAGGAGGACAGCAGAAACCCATCTGTTTCGACTGTACCTTGGCAATTAAGTTATAAATATCTGCACTTTCCTTGTTGTTCGGAGTTTCAATCTTTATGATTGTTGCTCTTATTGTAAAAGTTCAAGTTCAAAAAAGTGTGTTGTTTAAAAGTAGAACGATTTAAAACCAATGTTAAAGGGGACCTATCATGCAAAATGCACTTTTGTACGTCTTTTCTACATGAATATGTGTCCCCGGTGTTCCAGGGAACTCACCAAGTGTCAGAAAACACAACCCTCTCTATTTTCCTCCATACCCAAATCTCTAAAAAAGGGGCTGCAACGGATCTGATAAAAACTGATCCAGATTTGAACACTGTCCTGACGTCAGGACGGTGGCGCTACGGCTATTGGGCCAACTCCACCAATCAGGAGGAGACAGCCACGGCCATTGCCGTTCGAAAGCGCTGGAGACGCTGTAGTACATATGCCAGGCCTGTAGATGGTGCTGTTGCTCACTGAATCAGCCCTTGCTAAAACAGAGCTAACATTTTTCAAATTGAGCGAAATGAGGCATGGCTAAAATGCATGATCTGTTTGGTATTTTGAAAAAGAAAAAGTATAAATATGCCTTATATAGGTATGGTCCTACACTATATTATTCAAATATAGCATGATAGGTCCACTCTAAAAGACACAAGAGGATAAAATACAGTATAACTTCCTTTACATATTTTTGGATTGAAGTCATACAATAAGCCATGTTTCTTTGTCTTCTTTTGTTTACTCTGTATGTCAACACATACTTTTGTATTTATAACAAAGAACATGTACGGATAAAATCATTCAATAGATAAAAAGCTAAAAAAAAGATGGCGTGGATTTCCCTGTTGAGCACATCGATTCATTCAATTCCAAGATATAACAATAATAATACATGTTATTTATATAGTGCTTTTCCTGGTGCTCAAAGTGATTAAGATATGAGAGTGGTGTCGCATTTGGGACATTTTGCATTGAATATAAGTCAGAAAAACTATAGCTAAAACATGATTAATATGCTCTGTTTTTCTAGTTGTTGTTAAAACCTGGCAGTGGAGTTCTGAGTTAGATGTCGTTTCTCAAATTACTTTTTCAGAAGACCCTTTTTTTTAAACCCAGAAAACATTACCCAAGCTGATCACCAGATATCAAAACAAACTTAACTTGCTATTTAAAAAGCAGCGTCCACAACATCGACAAACTCACAACTTCATGCAAAACAGAAAATAAGACACTTGTATCAGCATTTAATTCGTTTTCCCGTCTCCACACAGATATTGATTGTAGATTCACTTTCAACAACCTCCATCAACTTCAAAGACTGGTAGAAAAACACAAAAGCAACCGATTCTCTAAAAGTGATCTGCAGACCAGAGGCGGCACGTTTCCATCCAAATAAAAGCAATTTTAATAGGCGCTTTCACACCGGAGTACTTTTCCCAGGAATAGTTCCGATAGTTTACTGGGATTTTGCGTTCACACCAAAAAGATCTGGGGCCTCATTTATAACGCCTTGCGTAGGATTGACGTGAGAAGGTTGCTTACGTAGTACAAAGCAAAAAAATAGGTACAGACATGTTCCGACATTTTCCGATTCACAAAACATTGCGTACCGGCGAGGGAAGTGCGTACGGCACTCCCTACGCCTGTTTCCCTTTAT